TCGACTCGATGTTATCAGTTGTAATTTCTTTTTTGGTATGTTTTTTGTGTTTTGTTTGATATTCATAACTTCACGCACGGCGTTGTGTGCTAACGTTCCATGGAGACTTAGGAAATTATCAGAGTTTTTCCGGGCTTAGTAACCTTGCTCCAAAACTAATTAACTCTTTTTAAAAAAAAGAGGCCTTCATTATCTTTTTTTCATCAATCTAGCCAACCAAAGCAAAAGTCAAAAGAATTCATGCCCTTAGCTCTTTTGGCCATTAAGACACCATATTTGAACAAAGAAAACGTTTTTTCTGCGCACATTTTATTTTCTCCTGATACTCTTGTAATGAGCCACACCTCTTCGGTGCCGACGCTCTCGAGTAATCGGTGCGCCTCGTTGCATTTTCTCAATTAACTCTTATATTACTAAACAATAATTGTTGACATTTAACTTCACTTTAGGTGTTATGGAATGGGGCTGCGGAAATAGACCTATAATGGAAAAAGATCAAAATGGATCATGGCATTCTTCAAAATATTGTGAAGAACATCGAAAAGTAGCGGATTATACTGTTCGATTTAATACTCCTGACGATTATAATGAGAGTCATTGTAATGTATCAAGGTTAGAGAAACAAAGTACCTCTTTTGTGATTATTTCACATTTAACTTGTTCATTTTTCTATTTAGGTCGGACAAATATCAAGAACGTGTGACATCATATGGTGTCCTAATTACAATGTTTAATTGTGGTGTTATAGTATCATTTGACCAATTGTATCGAGCAGAAGCACCACTTAGAGTGTTACACCATTTATTTAGAACGTTAGATCGATTTACACCATTAATAAAAACACCAAATTGTATTATGTACGATAATGCATGTGGATTATTACGAACATTTAAGGCACGTTATAATGATGGAAGAATAAAGCATACGGCGTCATCAGATAAACTAAATAATATGAAGTTTATTGTCGACAAATTTCACCATCGAAATCATAAAAGACCGAAGTGTTTAACAACAACAAATCCGTATCATATAATGAATAATGAGTTTTTTAATATCAACACTGAAGCATGCGAGCAACTTAATTCATTAATTAAACATTATCAGAATGCTCTTTCGTCGTATGGAGCACCAAAGAGTGATATATTCTATCTTCTATTGTTTAATCAAATGAACTGCAATAAACTAAATTTATCGATTTACACTAAATATAGTTA